GAATTTCTTTTAAACCTGCAACGCATTGATAAGGATGTGTGATAGGAATGTAACATCCTCCAGGAAGCTCCCAACTATCTTACTGTTAATGCCTTACTAGAGAGGTAAACCACCTTAACAATGGCAAGGTCTCCGGTCTCCTGTGAGTCTTCTTTGACAAATGAAAGCCTTTCAAAACCTCCGTTTTTCCTTACCCCCCCCCCCAACCCCATAGTATAGAATCAGCCACACCTCACAGCCCCGGGGGCAACAGCTCATTCTGCCCACGAGTCCTGGCCCCGGGCTTTCATAAACCACCATTTTGCACCAAAGATGCCTCAAGAATTCTTTCTTGGTCTGGGCTCCAGACTCCACCCCACCGAACCTCATCTATATTCCAAAATCACATCACCTCCAGGGCTCTGATGTTCAGGATTCCTTTCCTTCTGCAGCCAGAAGGGGCTGCTATGGATGAGCCTGGTGTGGGTGTGTACTTCTCTGAGGGCCCCCCCAAACCAGGTGTTCCTGAACCAGCAAAGCCCCAAGGACAAATGCTTCTTGCTAAGGACGGAACAGGTATACATTTCCTGAATTATAGGAGAAGGTTCTAGGGATGTTGAAACCCTGTCTGACCCCAGTCTCAGCCTTAGAAAGAACATGAGGGCAGAATTCTTCCCTGCACTTGCAACACAGGAATGAAATCAGCTTTTTGTTGACGGCTGCCAGTTTTGCCTGAGAGCCCGGCAGTCAGGTGAGGCACACAGGCACTCCCCCCGCCATCTGCTGAGAACCTCGCCCACATCCTCCTCTACTCTTGTGTCCTGCCTAGAACAACCTGAAGAAGATGCAGAGAAGGGACACCACCAGGTCCATCAGGCCAAGACCAGATAGGAGGCTGAGATGCCCTGTCTCATAAATGGAAGGACCACTAAGGGGAAGAAAAATGAGGCCCCAAGTGGAAAGACCCACCCAAAAGAAAGCTGCAAGGGGAGAACACTGAGATCTAGGGCCTTTGAATAACGTGCCCAAAGCCACATAGTAGCAGAGCTGGAACGAGGGGCCAGCTCCCCATTTCCCAACATGGGCTCAGCACCCCTTCACAACACCAACATTCGAAACTGCAGAAGAGTGAGAGAGAGGAAGGGAGCCCTGTTTAGGGAGAAGAAGGTTCTGTTCCACCTTTCAGGGTCATTATGGTTCCAGGACAGGGTAGACAGCAAGATGCCCTCAGGTCACTCCCGATAAAAAGGCTCCTCAGTGCCAGTGTAGTCCATTGCTCCTCTCAGAAAGCTTAGAACCTTCACTGCCATCTGCTATATAGCCAGGAAATAGGGGCTTATCTGACCCAACAACATGCCATGTGGACAGACAGTGGGTGAGAGAGCCAGCAGCTCTCTGGACACCATGTTGTGGGCTCTAAAGAAGGAACAGAAAAGAACCTTTCCCACCTTCAAGGAAGGAGGCAATCTGCCTGGTTCTCAGTGGATGCCTTAGACGGAGGGAAGCCAATGGAAAGTTCCTGGAATGTTTACGGGAGGAGCCCCAGCCATGGTCAGGGAAGTTTTGAGAGCTGGGCACTGGACAGACATTATTCCCGAGCACTTGGAGGATTTGGTTTTCGTCGCTTCCACTGGAGACTGGGATGAGTAAATTTCTTACTTCAGGGGAAATTTCTTTCTCTTTCCATGAAGAATTAGCAAAGTAAAGATGTGAACGAGGACATATCCTTGCAAGGACTACAACTTTTTTTTTCCTTAACACATACGAAAGCTGTGTGCGGGGATTGCAAGAGCATGGCCTTCAGCCCAGAGACCGTTCTTTCGGTTCCGTTTTCTCTCCCCGCCTTGGGGAGCGTGGAGCTCGGTGGTGATGTGACGGTGGGTGTCACTTCCTCCACACGTGCTCCAGATCAGAAAGATCACCTCTAGCTTGTACCCTGCGGACGTGAGCACACAGTACTGCTTTCATTTTCCAACGCTGTATGAAAATATCACGCACGACTGACTTAGGACAGAAAACCAGAGAAAGCAGCAGAAGGCAGGATGTATCAAGAGCTACATTCACCCTAATACCACCTGCAACAGTGCATCTCAAGCTTGACAGAGCATAGGGAGAACCTGAGGATCGGCAGATCCTAGGCAGGGGCCCGACATTCGACAATTCCAATAAGCTCCCAGGTGAAGCCGATGCTGCTGATCTTCAGGCCACACTACCAAGGACCTGGAGAAATGATTGGCCTTTCTGGCTGTTAGATGATGGCCCGAACTTGAACGCTATCTAACATGCCTCTTAAATGTAACAACCAGGAGTGAGAGCTTCCACCTAGCTCAGTGGTTCTCAGCCTTGGCTACTCATCGGAATCGCAGGGGAGCTTTAAAAAATACCAATAACTGGGTTCCATGCCGAGGGAGCCTGCTGTAATTGGTCGGGGTCAAGCATCAGGAAGTGTAAATGCTCCTGGGGGGTTCTAATGTACAGCCAAAGGGGAGAACCCCTGACCTAGCCAAATCAGGTGACCCGTTAAATGTTTTCATTTAAATGTTACTTCTCCTCCTACAATCTTTTCTCACATCACAGCACTAACTTTGATTCAGCCAATCAGATTTTACATTTAAGTGCGCAGGAAACCAGTTGTCACATTATTTTAAAAGCAAAGGGCTACCCTTCCTTACACTTTCAATACATGCTGTCCTTAAATTTTTCTTAGTGATGTAGCAAATTTATTAAAGGTTCCCCCACACTGTTGACATGGCTCAGTTTTATTGATTTATAAAACTGCTACAATACTTTAAACAAGCAGAATTTTCATAACAAAAATACAGAGTACACCTTTTGGCATTTGGAAGTGAAAAAAAAAATACTCACAAAGGAAGTATACATATACTTCAAAATCAAGTTTATTTTTCCCCTGGGAACAAAAATCCTATTTAAGAATGTTCAAGATTAAAGTGCTTAGTTATATCAATCTAAAGCCATATTTGCTATTAGGTTATTAAGTTTTATTTAGAGACTAGCTTTTCTATCAATTTCAATATTTCCAATTTATTTAACTTCTAAAGTCACAAATTGTTCATTAAACATTAAACGTTAAACCCACAAGCTCTTGTTGTAAGAACCATTATTAGTTATGACTAACCCAAAATAAAAACATTTCAAAGGCAAAAAAAAATCATGTGCTTATGTAATACTTATACACATAAAGAAAAAGCTATTTTAAAACAACCATGATATTTTATTGAGGTAAAATAATGGTTGGTGTGCAAATGTGAATAATAAATACTATTTAACTAGTTAACTAAAAAAAAAGTGAAAATTTAGGACAGCCAATTATATTTAAGATAGTCAATTTATCTAAACTATTAAAAATAAAGCACTGAGTTTTAAGTGTACTCAAGAATTACAAAGCAAAGGGACACCTGGGTGGCTCAGTTGGTTAAGCATCTGCCTTCGGCTCAGGTCATGATCCCAGGGTCCTGGGATCGAGCCCCGCATTGAGCCCCGCATTGAGCCCCGCATTGAGCCCCGAATGGAGCCCCGAATGGAGCCCGAGCCCGCATCCTTGCTCAGCAGGGAGCCTGCTTCTCCCTCTCCCGCTCCCCCTGCTCATGCTCTCTCTCTTAAATAAATAAACTCTTAAAAAAAAAAAATTACAAAGCAAATTTGAATGCTAACAAAATAGCACTTAGTAGTCAATGAATAGTGACTGAACAAATTTTTTAAGTTAAATAAATATGTAAGCTATCCTAAATTTAAATGCCCTCTTGAACTCACCACCCTTCCCAAATGATTCTTTTGTTTTCCAAAACAGTTCACCAAAAGAGGAAATGCTGAGGAGGCTCTTTTGGGGGACTCTGTATCATTAATCAAACATGGAGAAAAAGTTACAAATATTGAATTATTATGTTAAACACCTGAAACTAATATAATGTTATATGTCAATTATACCTCAATTAAAAAAAAACTTCTATTTCGTTTGAGCCATTAAAAAATGGAGAAAAAGATAAAGTGAATAAGAATATTTAAAAAGGAAAAGCAGAATGGGAAAAGTTCCCACGACTTTCTCTTTGGCTAGATAATATTGGAAAGCTCTTAGAAACTTACTTTTAACATTCACCCATGATTTTTATAACATAACATACAACCATGATTTCTTCAGAGTGGGCAAAAAGGAAAGGCTGAGATAACATACAGAATTTGAAAACCAGAGGGCAAAAAAAAGATTACATAGTGAGACTTATTTAAAGTCTCCTATTTAATTCAATTTAATGAATGTGAACTATCAAAAACCTCATCTAAAACTATATCCACTTCCTTACTCCCTTCATACTCTCCCAAAAGAAAGAAAAAAACACCTATAGGAGTTGAATCAGAAAGTGACAAACATTATAGTAAAGGAAGTCACATGTCCTCGAAATATACTGTTATGAGGCGAAAACATGGTAGGTCAGTGGTACATTTTGCTACGCTTCATAACTCAAGCCATATTCAAGGACATTGTGTGGCCAACGTGGCCTGATTCACAAAAGCAAGAAAGAAGTTTCAATCTACAAATGCCACCTCTCCCCGCCCATGGCCAAAAACAATGGCATCTGTTTAAAAAAAAAAAAAAGCAGCAAGGAGAAGGGACAACTCTAAGGAGAGCTGCTACTTACATAAAACTGCAGATGAACTAAAACTCTTCTCTCAAGTGATGACTAAGGGCGACTGAAACACAAAAGGTGACTTATATAAAGCACTGGTAGGCTACTGAATTGCACTTGCTAACCTTAGACTTCTTAAGGTTTTTTAAAAGCATGGCACTGTTTTGGGTCTTTTTCCTGCCTGGGCACCACGTCAAGGTTGCAAAGGTCTTCGAATTCACAAAGGCCCCGCTAGTAAGTGAATGGTGTGTGTTACTTAGGCACGCATACACACTGGCCTGAATAGGTGATGGGCTAGTTTTGTTTCCATTTAAAATTTATACGTATGGTTAAGTTCATCCTGGTGTGATAGTATAAAGTGAAAATAAGGAATCAATTATGAATTGTTCAACTTTGTTTATTGTGAGTGCTTAAAAAATGTAATCTAGCAAAGTTACGCAGAGTCCAACCATAATCATTGCCCTATATTCTGGATGACAGAAAACCCTTGCCGCCACTCCCCACAGCCTCCCGCAAAGCCCATGACAGACATCATTCATCAGGTAGGTGGCTTACGCTCTGCTGATCCCAGCCTCAAACTCAGAATCCCTGGAAGCTATAGCTAACTGGTCAGAGTTGGCACAGAAGGAAAAAAAAAAAAAAAGACAGTCTGCCATCCATGGTCACAATGCTATAAACCACAGGTTATTTATTGCCGCACACTTCTCTCCGGCCGGCCACTGCAAAACAAGAAGACAAACAAACAACAAATAATAAGCCAAATACCAGTGGCATATCTTACTTGTACTGTAAGGCCTCACCCAGCCTGAGGCAGCATAGCAAGGGACCCCAGGCAATCTTCCGGGTATGCTACCTCTGACGCATGCTCAAACACCTGGACGACCTAGCAACTCCTAGCAAGCACAAAGACCACAGAAAAGGACACAGGATAGAAATTTCCTATTTAGGGGCACCTGGGTGGCTCAGTCGTTAAGCGTCTGCCTTCGGCTCGGGTCATGACCCCAGGGTCCTGGGATCGAGCCCCGCATCGGGCTCCCTGCTCCGCAGGAAGCCTGCTTCTCCCTCTCCCACTCCCCCTGCTTGTGTTCCCTCTCTCGCTGTGTCTCTCTGTGTCAAATAAAGAAATAAAATCTTAAAAAAAAAAAAAAGAAAAGAAATCTCCTATTTAATTCAAGTACAGTCTGATTCGGGTGATAAGACTTAAAAGATATTTATTGTATGCTCATTTACCATGTAAATTTGTCAAATAAAGATTTTAATCACATGGACACGTATACATTCCAAGACAGAAATCTGGATGCTTCACACTTGCTGTGTCTGGGCCACACTTTTGATTGCTGCCAAACAAATAAAAAACAACTCTGTTTTGACTGAGTCATGGTAGTTTCTCCAGCAAACTTGTTTTATCCTCTGTAGCTCCACTTGTAAAATCAATTGTGAAACTCAATGTAAAGCTGTATCTCAAAACAAAACAATTCCAGGTTCCACTGTCCACAACCAAGAAACCATACGTCCAGACATACTTGCATACACATTCGTGCACACACAATTAAAGAAAAGCACTAGAAATTCTACGATTGCCTTTCAAAAGAAAATGGCCTCATTCTAGTTATCCAGAAAAAAGCAGTCAAGTCATAGCTCCTTGCATAGGGGGATTGAAAAGAAAATAAAAGAGCTGAAGTGCCGGTCAGGTCAACAACAGCAGAGGCCAGAATTATTCTACCGTCACACACCAAAAATACTTGTGAAGTATATGGAGTTACGTCCTTCTTTATTACCAGCTGCACCATAGAGACGTGCCACCTTGCTATCGAAGAGCTAATCTGAGCAACTGCACGTACACCTACATAAAAGAAAAGTTAGTGCATCGGGAGAAGGTCTGTAAGGGTACACTCCAAAGAAGAGTGGTTATCTGAGGGGCAATGGGGCTATCAAGGCGAAATTTCACTTTCTTCATATCGTCTAAATGATAACTTAATAAAGAGAACATATTCAGGTACTGCTTAAAAAAATAAAATCTTCAAAAAAAATAAATAAATAAGAGAAAGGGTGGGAAATAACCCAGCTCTCTCAGAAACTGAAGTCCAGAGTCCGGGGAGAAGATGATGGCACGGAGTGGGGCTGACAAGTTCCCCTAGAACGCCTCCTCTTCATTGCACATTAGTCTTTATTCCGAAACTGCTAACCTCATCCGAAATGACCACCTCTGCCTGCTTAATGCCAAGAGAGGCTGCCAAGAACAGAGTGTGTGGATACAGCTCATGGGGGCTACAGCCCCCTTCATGACACTATTCTCTCACCTCTGTTCTTAACTGCCCCTGGGCTACCAAACCCGGTAATATACTTCATACTGAGAGTTAAGTGCGTAAAACAGTCTTTGCGACAAATTTTCAAAAGCACAAAGACTATCAACAGCATTCTCCTCTCACTGTGACGATAGAACTAAGGAAGAATTCATTACAGTCATACTTTTTATTCCTCATTGATATTCTGAATACATCACCCACATAAAACTATTCCTTCACTGATGTCAAAGGAATTGCTTAATTTGTTAATATCCCTGTACATTAATTCACTTGTTTTATCCATCACAATTACTAAAAATCTAATCCATCCTGCTGTAAATTCTGGCTTTTGTGGGTTATTTATTCAGCAACTAACACTAGTCTAGAAGCACATGAACTAAAAATACTAAATAAAACAGATAATGTAAACACTTAGAATTTCAGGATATAGTAACAAAATGTTCATCATGCTGATCAGTCACGTAGGAGTTAATCCTGGTTCTGCATATTTTGGGTATTTTTGTATGCCTGTACTTTAGTATCTTTGTTATAAGGGTATAATGAGGTAAAGCAAACGGCCCGTAGTAAGTGTTACAAATGTTTTATTATCAAAGAGACCAATAAAAGACTTTTTTGGGGGAAGCACATTATGGGACAGAAAAGAAAAATTCTATCCTATGAAAATATGCTAGATTAGTTACTGCATTTGGAGAAAAGGCAGCATAAGGGCTCCAAAGCTGCAGACATCAAAGCTTCAGAGATAAAATATCAAAGCAAATAATAAAGGGGCACAATAATATTCGCATCTAGGGAAGGGGGGGAAATGCCAGCATCAAGCTAATGCCAGGCATGGTTTTAACCCTGGCCATGTCTCCCTGTTTCATCTGTACTACCAAAGTTAACCTGATAATTTGCGAAGAGGTTTATTCACATTCCTTTTGTAGGAAAATTCCTCCTGTCTAGTGGTATTAATATTTACAGCCATTGTCACAACCACTGGGCTCTAGTGAGAGAGAATTCAAAACTCCTTATAAATAAAAATCCTTCAAAAAAAGAAAAATCCTTCTCCAAAGTATGCAGCTCACTACCCATAAAAACAGGAGTGTGAGCACTAATCCCACTTCACCTCTAAAAAGTAGAATTCAGTGTTATCATACAATCTAGATACAAAGGAGATACTTAAACTTGAGCAAATGCAGACATTCTGATGCATAAATTCACATTTTCTGAAAACTGTACAGCCACTCACAAGGTCATAGATCCAGAGACTGGAGACCACCATTTCTCTATTTCTATACCCTATATATTCAAAGAGTATTACATCTACTGGCTGTAGATAAGGCATAATAAACAATCATCTCCAGAAGTTTATTTTCCTCACTTCATATTTAGATGATCAAAACGCAATACCAATAAAGCTTAAAAACACATCAAAATCGTTATTACATACTTTTAAAAACGTATACGGTAATAATTACTGACTGGACTTTTAAGGCTTTAATGTGTCTTAGAAAGATAACCTTTAATACCTGAACATTTCATGTGAAGTCTAGCTAAATGTAGGGCCAAATTATCAAACACTAGATTTTCCCATATGTGAATAATTCCTCCTATGATGAAAATCTTAGGAATCTTAATCCAAGTCTAAATGGATTACTGGATTAAGCGTGATAGTCGTAAAAACCATCACGGTAACAACAATATTAACAGTGGCTAACGCTGACTTAACACATACCACGGGCCAGGCAGGCTCTGTTCGGAATGGTCCATATGCACTGACTCTTCTAATCCTAACACCCTATGAGGGAGGTAATATAGTAGAATCAATCATATTAATTAAAAATCATTAGAGAGTGGAAATAATAAATCACAGAATGATACTCAAGAAATTTTATTTTCTACACACTATTTGAATTCAAAGCTAGACTTCCAGTCAAATATGGTAGACTGACCAGTTGTATTTATTTTCTCTACCTCCAAACCCCACCAAAAAGACATTAAAGGAATATAAATGTTATTAATTCATAAAGACAAAGAGAACAGACTACAGAACCATGAGATTTTAAGAGAGTTTGTAAAAATAAAAGCCAGGAGGAGGTGTGATAACCTAGCAGAAAGGAGGAAGTTAAAGCCTTACTACCCAGAAGAGAGAAGCCAACAAATACATTCTACCAAGCACCTAACAAGTTCAGGACTTGGAAGTACCAGGTGTTACAGAAAAAGGGGTGAAGTATAGGGATGAACATAGGACTAGAAGTCTGTATAAAAAGCAACAGGACCTCATGGGGCACCTGGGTGGCTCAGTCGTTAAGTGTCTGCCTTCGGCTCAGGTCATGATCCCGGGGTCCTGGGATCGAGCCCGGCATCAGGCTCCCTGCTCAGCGGGAAGCCTGCTTCTCCCTCTCCCATTCCGCCTGCTTGTGTTCCCTCTCTCGCTGTGTCTCTCTCTGTCAAATAAATAAATAAAATCTTTAAAAAAAAAAAAAAAAGCAACAGGACTCCAGGTCCTCTCCCCAGCCAGACGACCCACCCACCCCCAACCTCCATCCACAGGTGACCTGAGGGTCACCATCCAAAGAAGACTGCAAGGGCCAGGCGAGGGGACTGAGGACATGGGGAGGCTGAAAGTAGGAGATTAAGTAAAAGTCACCATATAAACTGTGGGGTCCTCAGTCCTCTTTTTCTACCCTGCTACCAAACCCCAGGAGTCCTTTCTAGAGAAACCGAATAGCTCCAAAGAAAAGATCTCCACTGAAATGCAACAGGATATTATTTAAAAAAAAAAAAAAAGAGAACAAAGAGAAAAAAAAAAATCTTAGAAATTAAAATACAGGGGCGCCTGGGTGGCTCAGTCAGTTAAGCATCTGACTCTTGACTTGGGCTCAGGTCATGATCTCAGGGTGTGAGATCGAGCCCATGTCGGATTCAGCAGGGGGTCTGCTTGAGAGTCTCTCTTTCCCCCTCCCTCTGGCCCTCACCCCCCTCCTCGCTCTCTCTCTCATTCTCTCTCTCTAAAATAAATAAATCTTAAAAAAAAATTAAAACACATAGCTAAAAAAATTCAAGAGAGCTAGAAGATAATATATAATACAACTCAATGAGCAACCAGAAAGGAAAATTTTTTAAATTAGAGGATCAATCTGGAAGATCCAACATTCAAATAACAGAAATTCTAGAAAGACAGGCTAGAGAAAATGGTGGAGAGAAAATTATCAGAAAGATAACACAAAAATATTCCCAGAATTGAAGTAGACAAGTCTACTAACTGAAGGACTCCACCAAGTCGAGTGCCCATCAGCACGAATCAATAAAGACCCACACAACACCATGAAATGTCAGGAGTAGGGAGAAGCTCCTAAAAGCTTCCAGAGTGTAAAAGCAGGTCTATTTAAAAATTAGTATCAGAATTCTCACAAAAATAGCGAATACAATAAGACAATGCAGCACTTTAAAATTCTGAGAAAAAAATTATTTTCAACATATACTCCAAACTACCAATCAATCAAGAGTAGAGACATTTTCAGACCTGTAAAGCCTCAAAATCTTTACCTGCACCTTTTCCTAAGAAGTTTTCAGCGGTGAATACACTTTAGCAAAAAAGGGGCAGTAAATCAAGAAAGAGAAAGTCATAGGATCCAATAAACAGGAAAAGACTAAAAAACAAAATAGGTCCCAGAATGACTGCTGAGCCATGCACGGGCCTGAAAAGCAACAGTCCAGATGGCAGAAGGCAAAGGATTGTGGAAGAAAGGTCTCCGAAGGTCAAAAAAAAAAAAAAAGGAATTGACAGATTATATGACGTTTTTGAGCACTTAAGCCTTCGGATAATCTTTGTGATAGGTACATAAAAAAACAGCAAAATTTTAAAATCAGGCAGTTATTAATCCTTAGGAAAATAAGGTTTTAGTAGAGAAGAAACAATGACAGATCATCATGGGGTTCATGAGTGACCAACATTTACAGTAGTCTCCCTCCTTATCCCTGGGGCACCCGTTCCAAGACCCCCAGTGGACGCCTGAAACTGCAGATAGCACTGAACCCAGTATATACTATGTTTTTCCCTGCGCATATATACCTCTGATTAAGTTATAAATTAGTCACAGTAACAGATCAACAACTAATAATAAAATAGAACAATTAGGATGATACACTGCAATAAAAGTTCGGTGAACGTGGTCTCTCTTTCTAATATCGTGCTGTACTCACCCTTCTCCTCGTGGTGACATGAGAGAACACGCCTGCGTGTGAGACGAAGGGAGGTGAACGACGCAGGCGCTGGGACGACGTGTTCGGCTACTAACGACCTGATGACATAAGGATGATCACCTGCTTCCAGCCCGCGCCTGACTGCGGGTAACTGAGGCCAAAGCAAGCGAAGCCACAGAAAGCAAAACAGCAGATAAGGGAGAAAGTTACTGTGTAGCTATTGATTTTACGAAAATCTCTGGCTAAACTACACTGGGAGATTGGGAGAGATGGGGAAGAAATCGGGGGGAAGGTAGGGATCTAAGAAAAGCAAATCCTGCCTGCCCTGAAAGAAACTCAAGAAAGCATTTCTGAAATTGACAAATCAAGAAAAAGAAACACAATATATTTTCAAGTAGGAACAAACCACTAAGAGTTGAAAGTGCTTATCTCTAGGGCACTAAGCTGGGATGAGGGGGAACTTTTTTTTTCATTATTAACTATGTATGTGCATGAGTTACTTTTTAATAAAAAGAAAGCTAAATTTTTTTTAAATGTTTTTCATTGACAAATTTGGTATGAATTCAAAGAAAGGAAAACTGGGGAACTGGAAAGACAAGAAAAGGAAACCCTCTCTACCAGCTACAACCTGCTTACCCCACCTGGGCTACTAAAAGAGAGACCTCCTGGAAGGAGCTCCAGCAGCCCTCACCAGGCTTTCTTTCAGGCCAGGACATGCCCTCTACATACACTGCTCAAAGGACAGACCTGGAGGCACTTCATTTAATAAAAAAAAAAAAGGGAAGAACTGGTAGAGTCCAAATTAATGATATAATAATGTATGTGGAATTAGTATTAAGAGTAGTATAATAGTAATATATTACAAAGATATATTTCCTGAGATCTTCATGATGATTTCTAAATAGTAAGTGTTAATAATGCAATGAAAAACTACACTTCAGGGTCAAAGGTCAAACTTTCACCTTCAAAGATCAAAGTCAAATAGTGACTATGGAAATGAAGATACTTTATCCCCTGCTTTAGAATTTAAATTCAAGTGACAGCATCCATTTCTCAACTTGTCCTGATTGACGATAACATAATAATTCAAGGTAACATAACAGAATTCAAATTTAGTCCAGTTAGAACAGAATTCGCATCCAAGTCACTTTAACCATGGAGGCCTGGGTTCCCATACAACAGAAACCAGGCACTCGGAAAGAAAAGCAAGCACTGGCTTTGCTTACAAGGTCAATGATATACCAAAAGTCTCCAATTTCTCAATAACCCCAAGGCCTAGACAAAGCAAAAAAGGAATAACCAATACCTATACCTTATAGAAAATTCTGACAAGCTAAAACTCTTACAGAACTGTTCTTATTTGGTTTACCTTTTTCTTAAAATTCAGAAAAGTCAGGCCATACTTGAACATACACAGGGCTCCTCAAAACGCAAGGTTCACTGAAGCTTTATAGGTTGCTTCATGCTATCAATTCTAGATGTCATTCAGGATATATTTATACTCCCCCCAAAAAATGATTTCACAAATGTCTTGGTTCCTAAGGGGAAAAAGCAAGGCCCAGTAACAATAAAAGCCATACTGAGGAATATGGCAACACCTGTTCAAAGCACCTGTTTCAAGGGGGAAAAAATGATACGACCCAGAAACGATAGCATTTTATTTTAAAAAATATTTACAGAAAACTGTTCAGGAACTCATCTTTTTGGATAAAGCAATAAAAAATGGATTTATTTCCTATGAGTTCAAAAGCCTGTTATAGTGTTTTCATTATAAACCTACTGGTTCGAAAAAAAAAATACCGACCTGAAAAACTCCCTATCAGTAGCACCTTGACTTTCATGATCTAATCACTACGCAAATTCTTACTACCAAGACAAAAAGCAAAAACTCTGATTACTTGCTCAACATGAAACTTACTACATTATTAAAATTTTTTCAAATTAAACATGAAATACAACATATGAGCAGAAAAAAAATTCCACTTAATATAATGACCTGTGTGCTATTTAAAATCACAAATACTTTTAAGTAGCATACAGTTTATCTAAATGCATATTAATGTATTTAGATTGTTTATGTCCATTTTAAACTTACAATTACAGATTTATTTTTAGTGAAGTAAATACCAAATATTAACTCTTTAAAAAAATGTTCCACATAAACCTATGAGAGAAATTTAAAGTGAAATAGGCCACACTGTTCTAACCTCATAGGCAGCAAACCTAAAAACATGCCTCATTTGTGTATTCACTAGAAAGTCCAAATATACAAACAAAATCAAAGCAATAAAGAACACTAATAGCACTTGATAAAGATTAGACAGAGTATCAACAATGTAAATAATACAATGTATTATATGATGAGTTTGAATGCAAAAACCATGTATTTATTAAACATGTGATTAACTTAAAAACACCAAACCAGTTTGTTTTAAAGTGCTCCTCATCCAAGACCTTGGACAAAACCATCCCTCCAAAGTGAATTAAAAAAAAACAGTTTACAAGGCAAACAATGACAATAGGTATGGACAGGCACTACCAAAAAATGCTATTTGTTCTTTAATTAAATAATGCCATTCTCAAGTGATGTAGAGCAGTCACCTTGACAGAATTCCTTTTTTGTATAAATAGTCATAAATAAAAAAATGTCTCTAGATAGTCTAAAGAGCTGCAAACATTAATACCTTACAACAGCAGCTTAATGTCTATTTTAGGAAAAAAGCACTAAAATCCTCTTCCACTGAAAGGCGTTTATTTCTCTGGTGTAAGTGAGCAAGGTCACTACAACATTCACCTCTTTTCTAGAACAATGTAAATAACAATGTATACACATCTTAAATTTGGTAGGTCATAAAAGTTAGGATGCAATCATTTTTTGATGCAACAGAAAAATAAATAAATAAAAGTTAAATACTTTAACCCAACATTTGGTATTGACAAATCAGTAGTGTCAACTTCACATATGAAGGACAGCACAGCCTGGTTTTTAAAAAAATCCTCAGTATGTCACGGTATTGGGGCTAAAAATATTTAGAATATTAAATGTTTCCTTTTGCTTAAGGGAATACAATAGAATCACCATCAAGCTGCTATCGTAACTCATTTTTAGCTGGGCTAAAGTGACCATTTGGTCCATGGCACAAGTTACAGATACCACACTTCTGTCAAACAGAAACCTTATGTTTCTAAGATTTCATGTTTAGAAGCTACAATACACACTGACTCATCCGTCAGTCCCTCATGGTTTTTTAGAAAAATATCTACATTTGTCCTTATGGAGGTCAAAATGTTACACCATCATTTGTTTAAAAAAAAAAAAAAAAGATGCACATTCATACTGTGAAGTTATTAGGAAAATACTCTTGCAAATAAACTATATAAAGATAAAATACACTTCGAAGGTATGTGGGTTGTTTTGTTGTTGTTGGTTTTACAGTATTCTATAAAGTGCAGAGAAATCCTAAGGGAAAAACCACCCCCTATAACATAGTTTCAGTACAGCAGCTTTTGCATAGCAATACTTAGAGGAAGTTGGGCACTTCCGTCTCCTCAGGAAGAGAAGGATGGAAGAGGGTCTTCCGATTCAGATTTCTTTTTGGCCGTAAGTCTGCTTTCTTCAGGAATGGCTGCTGATGCCAGATCTCCATTAAGTGTATTTCTTGAACAGTGAATGGGTCCTATTAAGAAATTAATTAAAAGGTTAAATATCCTATCGATATTAACTCCAGTTCTCTGTGGAAAAATTTTTTTTAAAAATTTCCTATTTAGGGACATGAAATTCCTTCAGCTTCCTATTAATTTCTTTGACTATTTGCTTAATAGGGAAAAATCTCACCGTCCCACTATTGGCAGTCATAAGGAGAAACTTCATAGTTAAGGAAATAAATTACAAGGCCACCAGCAGTAGAGATATTTGGTTCACTGCTAGAACCATGGTTGGCACATAGTGGGCAGTTCAGCAAATATATGCAGAAGTGAATGTAGTCTTAGTTACCTACTGATTTTTCAGCCTGATTGTTGTAATGCTGTTAGTATCCTTCCTGTTTTCTAGGGGGAAAAAAAACAAAACAAAACAACAAGATCCAAAAAAATGCCTAACCCAAGATCACACAACTGGTAACAGAATGAGGACTAATTCAGGTCTTACTCTTCTCATCATAAGACTTTCTGAGCAAAGCTGACAAGGTACCTCACACTGAAGGTTCCCATATTTCCACGTGGAATACAACTCACAGAATACAGCTCCAACTGAACACAGCTAAACACACTGGCATGGCCCCATTCCCAAACAATTGCACTTTTGTGTGTACATGTTATTTGAATTTACCATGAACGGTTACTACTTTTATAATTTTTTTAAATCTAGTTAATAAAAAATAGAAGTTTTCTCTCTCAAGGAAAAGAATATTTGGGGATATTCTTAGTGGGGCAGCCACTAAGACTGCCCAATTGCAAAACATGTACTTTCTAAAGAAGAGCACTAATTCAGTCTCTGCTTTGTCAACTAACCGAGACACTAAACTTTGGGATAAACAGATGGAAATCTAAGGATAAAACTTCTCTAGCCACACTTCCCAACTTAAAAAACGTTCTAGAGAACTGAGATATATGTTTGTATATAACTACGGATGCATGTGTGTATGTGTGGACATGCGTACATGTGTGTGAAGGTATGTGTGACTAGTTCTGTTACACTCCTTAACAGCTAACTATGGGAATGCTAAATGGAGTCAGGCATGCACACTGAGAGCTTCTGAAAATTGGTTTCAAAAATTCAAAACCAGGGTGCTTACAAGAGAGCTAAGAAAAATGGCTGGATTTTTTTAAAAATTATTTTCGCCATCACAAATGAAAATGATCCCTTTAGAGTAAAAAGGAGCAGTATCTAGAGGAAAGCACAGGCAGCATAGAGAACTCTTTCCTGGGCTCTAGATTCAAAGGGTCACGTAAACCAGGCAGAAAAAACAAGCTCAATCAGAATCTACCCTACCTGCCTCCCACACCTAACCTCTAACCCTCTTCCGCTTATCTCCTCCAAGTTGTACTAAATTGGCCTGGGAAAGTTTCCTTCTCCCTTCCCTTTCCCACCCTCACCCCTTTTCCTTCCTTCTTGTACCCACTGTCCCAACTTAAATTCAAAAATGGCAATGAACACAGAGTAGTGCTCTGTATCAATAAACAGTTCTGCAAGAGAAATGGACAACAACAACAACAAAAGATGCCATCACCTTCTAAAAATCTGAAAATGACCAGCAGTCCCTCTCCAAACTCCACCACCTTCATGAACTCTATCTCTCCCCCCTCATTAAACCTGTTTAACTTTCTGGTTCCGTAAAACAAATTTTAATCAATGTGAAGTAGCTGGGATCTTCCAGGCAACCTAAAGAAATTGAAATACCATTTATGATGTCATTTCCACAAGAGAAATAAAATCTGTGTTCCGAACGGCAGACTTACAAATTCTTGGAACATGACCTGTCCCCTAACTAGGAACTGTATGTAATTTCCATTACACA